TGAAGCTAAACCGCTCCCGGTCCAAAATTGGGTTTCTGGAAACTTGGTTTTAAACGTTTCCGTGCACAAGGCTTTGGGACCAAAAGACGCTGTCATGAACCATTGAGGTTTCATGCCCCGTACATTCAGCATGGCCTTTGAGAGTTCCTCTTGAAAGCTTGCCTTACGTAAGAGAGAACGAATTAAAAGATTTGGCTTTAGGAGGCTAACTGCTTGAAAAAGGGGTTTGTAGGGTGTTGGACCTTCTTGTTCAAGGGGCTGGGTTTTTGGTATTTGTTTTGGGTTGAGGAGTTCATGCTTTGAGGACTACAGAATTGTGTTTGTGGGCCTTGGGCTTCGAGGTTCAGTTCTCGACCCGAGGATTGACAGGTTGTACCATTTAGGGTTTAGGGTTTCGGGTTTAGGGTGTAACAAATTGCGACTCCGGCCTACATTGGCCTACATTGGCATCAGAGACCCTGAGTCAGGCCAGGCTGCAGCTGCACACCCAACTGCAACTTGCTGTTGCTCAAGAGGCCGTAGGTCTCGAAGCCAACCAGCCCACTGTTTGGGCTGGTCAGCGAAAAGAGGACATGCTCGTCTTGCTGCGACTCCACGAAGGATGTGCCGGCGGAGTCCTTCGGAAAGAGCGGTCGAAGCCTCTTGGCTGCCTCTGCACCATGCCAAGAGCCGGTGACATTGGGTCCCGACAGCATGTCGTACACCATGGAGGCCAGAAAGCCCGTCTGCTCAACCTCGAAGCCAGCGAAGCCCTCCGGGCGACCTCGACTCGAGTTGGCCTCAAGCAAAGACTCCCTGGACATGGCATTCAGGCCCGAGTCATCGGCGCCATCCTCGGGCACACCGAAGTTCAGCTTCCCGCTGGCCGTCGTCGCTTTGATGTTCTCACCACTGAAGTCAGCATTTCCGGACCCGAAGCGCTTCTTCAAGCGAAGCGTTCTCGTTAGCAGCGGCACTCCGCCCGACTTGATGTGCATTTCTATGGCGCTGAGGTCCACACCTCAAGACACAGTTCACGACAGCCTGACTAAGAAAACATGGAGGAAAGAGAGCAGCCATCTAGCTCTAATTTAAGGATCTACCCAAAAAGGTACCCTTCTAGAAGCCCTATAGAAACCATGACCAATCCCCTTGAAAGAGCAAGAAAAAAGAAAAACAAAAACAGAGCGACTCGGCCCCTCACCGCCAGGCTGGGTCTCTGGCCAGCAGACCAAGGTCTCCACCTGAAAGCAGACTCATCTCAAGGATTCCCTTTCAAGGGGCCCTAAAGGGTTTAAATTTAGGTATAAGGTACTAGGTGTAGATTAGGTAAATATTAGGTATATGATATAAGGATCCTAGGTTCAGGGTACTAGGTGTAGATTAAGTAAATATTATAGGTATATGATATAAGGATCCTAGGGTTCAGGGCCCAAGTTCACACATCTTCACGCCATCCGCACGCAACATCAGCCCTGCCTCGGCTATGGGTGCAGGCATGATGTCGAACTCCAAGCCGCCAACAAAGGCGATGACAGGCTGAAGTGACAAACTGTACACAACAGTGGCACACCTTTCCACCGGCGATTCCCAGGTGTAGAAGGAATATCCTTCCCACTTGCTTGGGTTGTCCTTCATCCACTCGTTGGTACACGGAACAGCCCAAGGCTCCAACTTGATGAACTCCTCTGGCACACTGTCGCTTTGCTGGCCCGGTGTCTGCCAATCCCTCGGCAGAACCGTGTTTCCGGGTCCTCCTCGAATGCTTGGGGCAAAGGCTAGGCAGGAGCCGGAGTCTGTCTCCACTCCGCTGAACTGCGTGATGAGCTTGTGCACTTGGGGGACATAATCCGTTGCGCCGAAGCCAAGGGCACCCTTCGGCTTGTCATCGCCCTCCCCTCGGCTGTGCAGCGCATCCCTTCGGCCTTGGCGTTGGAGCAGGGAAGGGTCAGCTGAGAGCTCCGAGTGCTCCGCTGCCGCGTGCTTTTTGGGACCGTGGCGGCTACTGAGGCGAAGCTCCAAGTTTTTGCTGTACTTTTTCACCATTGCAGCGGCGCCAACCTCGGGGAATTTCGTTTGGACGGCCTCTTGGATAAGGCTCGTGCTGTCACCCAAGGCTTTCTCGATCAGTTTGCCGGCCATGAGCGCAAACAGCGCGATGAACTCCTCCATGATCCGGTTCAGCTGCGTGAGCATGCTAAAGGGCGGGACCACTTCGAGAAGAGTATTACCAAAGGCTTTCGCAAAGCAAACCAACGCAGTTGTGCCGCTCTGTGTCGCGCAGTCGGCAACGGCGAAACCCAACTTG